AAAGGCTCTAAACTCAATCAAGGCTATGCTAAGCTAGATTTTGTACAAACATAATGAAGGACATGCACTTTCCATCTAAATACACAAACAGATGAGCAATGGGGTAGGGGAAGTATTATGCCATTTTATAGTATGAGGCCAGAAACAAAAAGAGATCTCGGACATTTCACCTCTTGAATTATGGGGTTTTTTCCCCACTGATCTAGAAAAGGAGCTAGAGGAGACATGACTAAATCTGACCCTCAGCTGACAGCTCTGTAATACCATGTTTTATCAAGTGCATATTCAGTATCATACACTTAGATCAGAGAAGATTGTTGCTCCCATTAGGAGACATTTCTCTTGTAAACTTTCCCAAGTCTGACGTTTTGTTCATTAAATCCTTAGTTGCGTTAAATGCACAACTGTTTATTAGGACTTCATTGGTGCTTGAAGTTGAAAGATGTTTGGTACAGCAGGACAACATCAGGAAGACAGTGGATAGCACTACCATCTGTATCATTCTCAGGCCAGTATTTAGGGCCCCTCTGAGAGGTATGGTGTGGAAACAGCTCAGTTTGAAGTGATTGATGAAACTAGGCTTCCCCGTTCTTTGCAGGGCACCCAAACTGATCAGCCATTAGATAAAAAACAGATAGAATCAACGACATGCTGTCAGGAAGTGATTTCAAATTAAAGCAGTCCTGGCTGCTATATTTGGAGCACAGCTAACTCATGTCAGTATATGGTAGGTGCAAACTAGACTAGGTGGGATTGCCAATAAGATTCAACTTGCATGAACCAGACTCCATTCTGCAAATACAGAAAGCCTACAGAGGCTCAGAAGCAGAAATTCACTAATTAGAATTCCTATTTCAGAAAAATATCTTTATTTACAGATATACTGGCACCTAAAGCAAGGGAGGGCTGAGAATCACACTTGTATATATAGACACCAAAAAAATCTGCTCTGTATGCCTTGATCCTCAAGATGAGAGTCTACATTTTCCTATGGCTTCACTGTAAGAAACTAGAGATTTTATCCTACAGTGTTGACTTGAAGTTAGGGAATTAAAAGTTTGCAGTGCCTGAATACTGATTTACTACTCAGTATTCCTATGGATGGGTTTTGTATTTCTTATTACTAGTTCCCCTGACAATCTGGGATTTATCTTTCCATCCATTTTCATTTCAAACCACAGAAGAAAGGATGTTATTGACTGATTTGCATTCAGTGACAAATTCCTCCTTCTATTACCAAATGTATTCTGTTGCTAAAAAAAGATGCACTTGATAGCACAGGGGGATCCAAATACCACCAACCGTAAAGGCTCTGCAGACTAAGGATTGGTTCCTAGCAACAGTTGGGCCTAACTGGTAGAGACTGGCTCAAATCAAAAGCTTTGCTTCTAGGTTTTGAATGTAGCAACTTTGAACCACCTGTCAATCCAGGGTTTTGATCCAGTTATTATTCAAAAACTGAACAATCTCACCCACCTACCCTACTAAAAAACATCCTACATAGAACATTTGAATCCATTACTATAAAGCCAATATAAATACAGAAAGTAGATAAACTCCACTGCAATATAGAACTATTTTAAAGTATTGCATTTGTTTTTATGGAAGGGAATTAATCCTAAATGTTTGATGTAGAGAATAAAAATACACAAAAATAGAAAGGCAGAAATAAAAGCATACAATGAAAAGCCAAGATCACACAAAGGACAAAAGAGCAACCAGGGAAGTGGGACAGAAGGATAGAAAGGGAGAAGGGAGACTGCAAGAAGTAAAACAAGATAACAAAGAGAAAGTTGACAGCAAGAAAAGAAAAAAAAAAACCACACAGACCTAAAAAAAAATATTTTTAAGACCATCCATCAAATCTTTTCACAGAAATGGAAAACTAAAAAATTTAAAAGAGTAAAGATGTTTATAAAAATATACTTCTTGAAGACCTTCATAGTAATTTATACAAAATTTAAGTTTGCAAATTCTAGTGGCAATAGGATATAGATATAGCTATATATAGATAAATATAGCTCTAATATAGATATCTATATAGATATAAATAGATCCAAGTCTTTTGAGGAAGTCAGGGATGTAAACTTGAAGTGCCCATCCATGCTTAATTTCAGTTGTCTCAACTGTCTCATATAATTTGTTATGCTTTGTTTTTTCAACACTTGCAATTTAAAAACAGCATTCTAGTTCACGTCAGGCATTGCAGAGATAATTGCAGCAGACCACGACTTTCAATGCTAGGTGCCTGATTCAGGCTCCCAAGCCTGTTTGAATATTAAATAATTAGTCTCAATTTCAGAACTGACTAAACTGAGCCTGTTTCATGAATACGTAATTGCTAATGTTCAAACTATTACAATAATATATTACTATTTTAATGCATTTTAAAACTCTCCTATAGAATAAAAAGAATTATCTGATCCTTTTTCCAAGGGATTTTAAATCAATAGGTAAGATTTTGCTACCCACACTAATTTCCAGTAGAAAGATACTGTTCTATGAGAGAAACAGCAATGAGACTTGATCCTGTGTTTTAAATGAGAGTAAAGAGCAAAGGAAAGCATCAGTTGTGGCTCTGTGGCATCCATGTAGCTTAAAAGCCTTCTCTTCTTTTTCATAGGTGAAAACTCTATGATGGCAGTGTGATTTCATTATATCTTTATTGCTGTTTTTTTCTGGCTATAAATTTTTCTGGCTCCTGCTAAGATTTCATAAGACTATCTTCATATGTGCCATATTATAATAATCTATTGTCTGCAGAATAAAGAAGGCAAAACTGCTAGCCTTGTCAGTATTACAGGAAATAGAAATAGTACATGCAGAGAAGCTTAAAGATACCAAAAGTTGTGCAAAACTCTGTAAAGTCAGATTTTTTTCTATTCCTGTGTGTTTCACTTGTCAATTATTAGTTAGTTTTGTCACTGTTACTGAAACAGTATCAGAGCCAGATACTGGTTCCTATTGGCCCCACTGCCTTCCCCTTTCCCACATTAGCTATTACAGTCCTTTTAGTCCTGGGTGAAACATCTTCTGTTGTCTTAGCTCATTCTATAATAAATGCATCACAATTCCAACACACACAATCAGTCAGAACTGGCAGTTTCTCAACTCCAGTAAGTTCAGAACTGCATGAAGGCTAAATTGCTTCTGTCCCAGGAGACCGATTCATTGAGGTCAAGTCAAGCTCATTAAGGAGAGGATAGTGTGGGGAAGTTTGTGCTGTAGCCTTTCAGCTGCACCTATCATGCGTAAATGCTCTGAAGTTTGGTTGCTCGGGTTTTTTATTTCCAGAACTGTGCAGACTCTTAACTATTGTATTGCTGGTGTTTTTCTGTATTGGCCAAGTAGTGTTATCAGTGAACATGTCCAGCGAATAAACATAGTCTAATAAGCAAGACATATATTTTGGTTTAGGAGACTGGGATTCTCTTTCTAATTCTGACCTATTTTATGAGTTTGGGACCAAGGCACCTACATTTGTGCCACTGCCTCAGCCTTCACACCCCACTGTAGTTATGCTGTTCAGCCCCAGTGTAGGGCTGTCTCACACTGCTTAGTTTCACAACACGGAGCACAGCCAAGGCCCTGGACACTGCTGTTCTGTATATGACAGTAAAAACCCAATGTCAGACAGATGGTTAAACCTCTATGTAATGTTTCTTCTTCATTTCCTGTGTAATTGTTTCCACTTTAATGAAATGGAAAATACCCTACTTGTTTTATTCCAAACTAATTAATAGCCTAGTGCCATCAGAAGCTTTATCTAGCAATTGAAAGAACAGCAGGACCAAAAAAAAACCAAAACAAAACAAAAAAAGAAACCCTATTCATTCTTTTTGTTGATTCAGAACCAGGACCATAACTTTTAATAAAAAGATAGAAAAATTTATGCCTGGAGGACTCATATTTGCTGAAGCTCAAGAGCTTTGATAGAAGCTATGTCTTTCTTCCTTCATTCAGTATTTACATATTAAAAGCATCTACTTTACATATAGTTCCTGTCATTGTCCCTAAGAGTATATGCATAATATTTACAGGAAAGAATGATGAAGTATGTAATTGTTAATATTATACATTTTTAAATCTACTTTAACGTATTTTTACTGAAAGCAAAAATATAGTCATGATTACAGACTCAGAAATGAAGCGGCCTTAAATCAACATCTAGTGAGAGAATACATTTTATAGGTATTGGTAAATTCTGTAGTGTCAGGTCCACTGAGCTAATATATAGGAGCTTGTGAGGCATTTGGGGGTCGCTGGTCACCCTAGCTGTGGGCTTCAGATTCCAGTGATAAGGAGGTTTGTTATTCACCATCCCTCACTACTCTCCTTCCTTTCTAGGTGGGAACATCAGCACAAGCCTCTGTCATTCAACTCACAACATTTTTAAGATTAATTTCTCTTCAGTTCTGAGTATCAGCCCTATTCAAAATGTCAGTTGCCCACCACATCACTTTTAACAGCCAACATTTTTTTTCCTAGCCACATTACAAAAATGTCACCCAGGTTCCCATCATCTTGCTTTTCACCCACTGTAAACTCCTCTCCTCTCTGCTTTGTTTCCCCATACCTTGGTGTGCCAAGTAAAGCCCTTTCCAAATGCTACAAGCTATCCATAATGAACAGTCAAGAAACACCAGAGGCCTGAAGTCCTGTCCTTGACATGGCTCTCTAGCTCCAGTTCCTCAACACCTCTCTTCTGCCAATAATTAAGGATTTCTTAGCACACGTTAATTACTTAATTGTCTCTCTGCGAATATGGTCAGAGAAGGGGTAAATATCTAATCTCAGGTCTTGTCAGTGGCAGTTAAAAAGAATCTCAGTTTTCCTAAAAACTTAAATACCATGATTCTCTGCTTTTCTCACCTAATAGGAAATGAGTGGCCTAAGAAAAAGATATCTATGCTCAAAGCTCTCTCTAAATACATCACACCATTACCATATCTCTTTGTTTCTTATGTGTTGTTTTTTGGTTTTGTTTTGTTTTTTAACAGAGTTGGCGTAGATCCAGATGAAGACCTAAAAACAGAAGCTGTGAGCCAGGTATGTTTGGATTTTAAACATACATGCTGAATTAAAAACTGTTCAGTTGCTGGAAGATCATGTTTGACAAAAACAGTGTTATAGCTGAAAATGTTTTAAACAGGCAGGTTGAAAATAAGAAGGAGCTGCAAAGTATCTTTATCGTACAAGGTGCAAAGAGAGAAAATAAATATTTTTCTATGGGCATGCACTCATGAAAATTTTGTAACTGAAAATATTACAAAGTTTTGAAGAAAATTATCACTAAATGAGAAGACATCCTGAAATCATGATAAACAAAATTAACTACAGAATGGTCTGGGTTGGAAATGACCTTAAATATCATCTAGTTCCAATCCCCTAAACACCTCCCACTAAACCAGGTTGCTTAGAGCCCCATCCAACCTGGCCTTGAACACTTCCAGGGAGGAGGCAGCTACAACTTCCCTGGGCAATCCGTGTCAGTGTCTCACCACCCTCATAGTAAAGAATTTCATCCTAATATCTAATCTACATCTACCCTCTTTCAAGCTTCAAACTGTTCCCCTTTGTCCTCTCACTACAAGCCCCTCTAAAAAGTCTCTCCCCAGCTTTTGTGTAGCCCCTTCAGGTCCTGGAAAGCCACTATAAGGTCTCCCCAGAGTCTTCTCTTCTCCAGGCTAAACAACCCTTAATAACAAAAGTATTGCCTTGATAAATTTAAATATTTCCCAATGTCATTTTTATGGAAATGAGAATTTCAGAACAATGTTTAATTCCCTGGATAAATAAGAAGAACACGTAATGTTCCATTTGAGTAGGTCAGGTTTCTGAAAATATTTTTCGGTTATTTTTCACATGGAAACCTAAGTATGTAGAGAACTTGAACACTTTAAAGGAGGCTATTTAACAAGCTGTAGTTGTTAATTTCTAACACTCCACTTTTTTGTCGTACGTGTATGACATGTTTCAAATGCTGCACTGCCTGAAACAGTGGAAACCTGTACAGAACCTATGTACATTGAGACATAACCTGTGCGTCAGCACGCTAAGTGGAACAGTAGCAGAGCTGGGGAGAAGCAAGACTAAAGCTGACAAGTTGACAAAGGGAAAAAAAAAAACACCAAAAAAAGAACATTAACAAAACCAAAACAGTCCCTAAGACTGCATTCCTATTTCAAGGTAATACCATCCCATGCACTCTTTCAGACTGCATTACTGGAACTGAAATTGAAATCACTCAACAGTGATATAAATGTAGAAAATAAGTTAGACCAAAACATCAGTAACTCTGATCACTTGAAAATACATTAAAGATATAATAGGCAGAATTTTGGTATATCTTACACACTGATTATTCTTAACATTTGCACATATATGAAGACATTTAGGATCTTTCATTGAAAACGAATGGAACTCTGGTGACTAACTCTGTCCTAATTTTTCTTTGGGAAAGAAAAAAAAAAAAAAAAGGTAAAAATATAATATCTGAGCATATCCTTAGTTTTACAACTCAACCACTATTGAAAGGGCTAGCACAAGGCTCGATTGCAGCATGCCAAGATACTGGTTTGTTCTGAGTCTGGGGTCCTAGTCACTAAACCCACTTTCCTAAGCATCTTGGTAGGAATTTTTTGCAATGCCTCTCCCCAAATTCTGACCAAGGTCAAGACACGGAATCTTAATCTTAATCTATTCTTTTTTGGATTTTAAATATCATTTCAGAAATTTTCTACTTTGCAGCACTCATAAATTATCAAAGATCAGAGAATGCTGAATGCAGTATAATACTGACTGCATTTTTTGTGAAAACCCAATTTCTTCAGGAGTAAATAGGCACCTAATTTTTTCCTTTTATTCAGAAAGAAAATAATCATGCTTATGAATAACAATGACACATCCAGTGTCGCAGCTGTGCCCTGTGAATTAACACCTATCTCTGTTGACAAAATGCAGCAATACAACACAGAAGGTGTAAATAAACATAACACCTTTCATGCCCTATCATGTCCAAGTTAGTATTCCTTATAGTAGTCAGTTTTTAGCTTGGAAGACAGTTTTGCTTCTCTGATTATTCTTCCTCCCTGTGGTATTCTATTTTCATTTGTCTGAGTTTTTTTATTTGACATCTAAATCTACTGATTCAAGACCTCTGTTGCATTCTCTGTAGCTCTCTTTGTTTATAACTCAGTACTTAGCACAGTTATTCAATCTATGTCAGGTTATTTAATTTTCTCTTTCATCTCATCTCTCATTCCTCTTCTTCCCCTTTGTTGTCTTTTTTCTTTCCCCTTATTTCTACTATAATGGTTTTACTTAGTTTACCTACTTTTAATTTTCTTCCTATGTTAGTGTGTCTTCACAGTGAAAGCACTTGTTTTTCTTGCATATATCCCTAGACAAATAACATTGAGTGCTAATATCCATCACTGCCAGTTAAAGCTCTCCCCCAGATGAACTCTAACCTATGTCCCATTAATTGGAGCTTCAGGAGGAACATACCAGAAATAAGAACTGACCCTGTTGTCAATAATAACATGTCTAAAATATAGAAAAATCAGTGGAAAATAATCCTCCAGACACCTCCCTTCTCAGCCCAACTACTCAGCCAGAATGGGGAGGCCACAGTCTGCTGGAGAGATTTGAACCTGTCTCCTGAGTGACCACTTTAAGTACCAGGACACAGGGTATGTTGCTGTGAGAACTTCTCAATCCATAACTGTAATCAGACACGGATTTTTTTTAGGGAA